GCCAGTGGGGCACCCCCAGCTGCGGAGGCGGATGATCAGGAGGGACAGGAAGCTAGAGACACCTTGAGGCTGTGTCCATCCCACACAGGGGCTCCACCCCTGCAGGCTTGACAGATGCAGGGCTGTGCCTGTAGGTCAGGCAACAGGATGGAACCTTGCAGCTGCCCGCCTGCCCGCACAGAGCTCGGCCCTGCTTCACATCTGTGCCACCTACTCCTGCCTTTCACCACCAAACATGAGGGGCCTAGAGGCTCTGGTCATCTCCTTATTCCCTAGGTCAATGGGTCACCCATTTACACAGGTGACTCACCAGAGGACCAACCCCGGGGACAAGGTCTGAAGATGCTGCTCTGAGCATCTGGTCAGCAGAGGCCAGTAGGCACTGCTTACCACCAAGAGCACACTGGCTGGTCCTACAGGAAGGAAGTGACCAGCCACAAACATCTGCGGCGCCAAGGCTGAGACCCTGCTGTCCTGGGATCACCCAGGGCCAGGACCGATTCTCCAGAGAGCGAGGAGAGGCCCACACACGAGGGGACTGGCTTGCAGCAGGGACCAGGATGCCTGTGGGCTCATGTGCTTGGGTCTGCTGGCCCATGCAACCCGCGTTTCAGCAAGCACAGGCACCCAAGAAGGCATGCTCTGGGGGCCACGTGCACAGATCAAGAAGATGCAGTCCAAAGGTGAGGTCTGGAAGCTCTGTAGATGCGTGGCATCCCGTTATGACAAGAACTGGATCTCCCGAGATGCTGCTGTGTGCTGCCACGCTCATTTTTAACTCCTAAGGACGCTGCGTGACAGAACATCTGTCCGTGGAGTTTCCTGGACTGTCATCTTTGCAGAAGGTGCCCTAGTAGCTGAGTTTGTAGCGAGTTGTACTGCAAACCCAAAGACCATGTATCTCTGAATTCACCAGGTTCAAATCCACTGACGGCTCCTTGGAGAAAAATGGAAAATCGCCCCCTGTGGCACTTACAGCTTCAGAAAGTGGACAGAGGGTCACCATGAGTGGGAACAGACTCCGAGATGGTGAGCTAGTTAGCGAGTTTAGCAATCTTTAAGGGAAGAGCCCTGATGGTGTAGTGTGCTACATGTTGGGCTTTGAGTTAGCAAACTCAAAGGTCAGGAGTTTGAAGCCACTAGCTGCTCTGAGGAAGACAGGCCAGCAGTCACTCCTCAGAGAGGCTCCCAGCCTCAGAAACCTGATTGGGGCTGGGGGGGTGGTGCTATCAGGCGGAGCAGTCTCTACGGCAGTGGGCCTGGTCTGGGGCTCATGCAAGTGCGGAACTGTTGGGGGTCCACACGACAGCCTACAGGTAAGGGCCCAGGGCTGAACCGTCGCACCACCAGGACTTGACCCCTAAACACATGGGCTGTAAACCCCACACTGCAACCACACTTAGGAGTAGGGTGCTGTCGGATCATCTGTGAAGGATGGTCTTAAGCCACTTTTGTTGTGATGAAGGAACAGAATAATAATAGAAACAAACACAACAGAAGAAAATTGATCCTTTGAGGAGATACCAAGGAGCCAAGAAAGCCCATCCTCACCCAGCCCTGCTGCATTCTGGGAGGTGCAGCAGACTCTACTGAGTCCATCAAAACATGCCTGTAGCCCTGACCCTTGTGATGCCCTGCAGTTCTAATCCCACTGGAGAATGGGGTGTCTGATATGCTAATGAGGCACACAGCATTGGTGGGGAGGTGTGTCAGGTCAGTGGCCTTTGGGCTTTAAAAGAACAGATAAGCAGAAATGGAGGAACCACCTCACATGGAGACCTCAAAGGAGCCAAGGAACAGAAACTGAAAAGAGACAAGACCCTTGTCTCACAGCCAAGAGAGAGCTTCCCCTAGAGCTGGTGCCAGAATTCAGACTTCCAGCTCTTCAGTGTAAAAATAAATTCCTGTTCTTCAAAGCCTTTACCCTTCTGCACGGTTGTCATACAGATTATGCCTAATCATCTATTCCTTTTAAGCAGTTCTTTCCTTCACTGTTCCAATGCACTGTTCATTATCTATTCACTATGTAGCCTATTCTCCTCCCAACCCATGTCAGCCCTGCTTCCTAACAGCGGTGCTCCGCAGTATTTGTCCTTTTGTGACTGAGATATTTCACTCAGCATAACGTCCTCCAGGCTCCCTCATGTTGTGTAACGTTTCATGAGTTCATGAGTTCATCGCTGCTTAGTGTTCCCCTGTGTGAATGTGCCATCCTTCTTTATCCACTCATTTGTTGATCAGCATTTGGGTTGCTTCTATTTGCTACTGTGAATAACACAGCATTAAACATGGGTGTGCATATATCTGTTTGGGCGGTAGCCCTAGTTTCTCTAGGGTATATTCCTAGTAGTGGAATTACTGGGTCAAATGATATTTCTATTTCCACCTTTTTTTTGAGAAAGTATTAGACCACCTTCCATAGTGGCTGTACAATTTTACACTCCCACCAGCAGTGAGAAAGAGTTCCACTCTCTCCACAGCCTCACCAGCATTTGTTGTTTGTTGCTCTGTTCAACTTTGTTACTGTTGCTGGGGTGAGATGATATCTCATAGTTATTTTTATATGCATCTCTCTAAGCGAAACAATGAAAGCTATACAAGTATTCAGGTCTTTCATTGATAGGGTGGCTATGATTCATCTATGACTCACGGCGCTTAACACCACCAAACAACAGTTGAAGGTTCCAGTCCTAGGGAAATGACATCACGCCGAGAGAAGGAGGTGTAAGTTCAGAGAAGAACATCCTCACTCAGCACGACGGGTTGATACGGTGACTGTAGCAATGGACTTGAGCATGTCTCGGATTGTGGGATGGCGTGAGACAGGGCAAGGGTCAGACCTGTAGTTCACAGAATTGCTGTGAGTCACAGAGAGAGTTCTGTTGGCCTAGTGGACAGAAAGTTATACTACCGAGCCAAAGGTGGGGGATTTTAATCTGTGGCCCTCAGGCCTGGTTTTGGTCAAACACTTTTCTAAGTGGTGTAGCACTGGTGTGTCCGCTTGCTGTACAGAGGTAACTACTGGTTGCTGTGATGCTAAACACTGTGACACTGATGCGTCAAATGGGATAACGGTTACCCACGGTGGACAGTGTTTGGTGGAGCTCCCTGATTAAAACAAGCTTAGAAGCAGGAGTGGCATCCACTTCCGAAACAGTTTGCCTCTGGAAACTATGAACTTAATGAAGAAAGTTATACAAGTGTTCAGGTCTTTCATTCACAGGGTCACTATGAGTCCTCTTTAACTTAATGGTACTTAACAACAACAACTCTAAGAGCTAGGGGTTTGAAACATTCCTTTATGTGTTTGTTTGCCATCTGAATGTCTTCTTTGCTGAAACGTCTGTTCATATCCTGTGCCTGTTTTGCGACTGGATTGCTGCCCTTTTTCTTGTTGAGGTGCTGGGGTATTCTATAAATTCTAGATAGGAGTCCCTTACAGTTACACCATTACCAAATACTTTCTCCTAGTCGGTGGCTTTCCTTCTTATCCTGTTGGAGGAGGTTTTTGATGCACAGGGATTTGATTCTTAGAAGGTCCATTCATCTATTCTGTTCTATTGCAAAGAGGAATGGGGGAGGGGGAAGAGAAAGGGAGGTAATTTTGCAACAGTGAATGAATATTTAAGAAGAAGAAGAAAGTGAATGGGGGGAGGGGGAGGGAAGGAAGGGGAATGTGCAAGAATGAATGAATGAAAATCCATCTTTTCTGTAAACTTTCATTAAAATCACAATTAAAAGAAAATATTTATTGGAAAAAATGCCTTTGGTCTTTGAATTGTAGTCTTGGCAAAAAATGTTGAGGACAGCACGGACTGCCCGTGGAGAAATCAGTCTGTGTCAGGAGATGACTATCAGTGCTTCGTAAGGCAAGGATGGTGAGACCGTCAGGCTCACTTCAGGCAGGCTGTCAGGAGGGACCAGTGCCCAGGAAAGGACACCACGTCTGGAAAAGCAGAGGGTCAGAGGCGGAGAGGAAGACACTCAGAGCTGGGCGAGCACAGTGACCGCAACGGTGGGTCTGAGCCCGTGGAGCCTGAGGTCGGCCCGGGGCTGGGGGAGGCGCAGGTCTTCTGTACTAGGACTTGCCATGTTTTGGAGTCGATTCCATGGCACGTAACGACACAGCAGAAGAACACATACATCTGTCCTCAGAACACCAAAGCCAGACTGCTTCTCAGAAGCGAGGGTGGTAGGGCTTCATCGCCCATACTCTGAACATGTTTTTAGGAGGGAACCCTCCCTAGAGATTGGAGAAAGTGCAGCCAGAGTGCTCCTTGGAGGCAAAGATGGTGATGATTTGTGTCACATACTTTGGGGATGTTGCTGGGAGAAGTTACTCATCACGGAAGGAAAGATGGAGGGTCGGCAAAGGAGAGGAAGACCCTCAAGCACGTGGACTGACCCCGTGACTGCAGCGATGGGCTTGAGTGTGTCGAGAAGGTAAGGCTGACACAGGACAGGACAGAGGCCGCCCTGGCTGTTCATAGGGTCGCTATGAGTCGTAATCGACTCAACAGCACCTAAAAACAACAATCCCTAGAGGACATCGTGCTTAGTAAAACAGAAGGTCAGCCCAAGACAGGACGTACCTCCGTGAGATGGGCGTGAGCTGCAGCCATGGGTTTGACAGGCGAAGACTGCGAGGCTGCTCGGGGCTGAGTGGTGTCGTTCTGCTGTGCCTGGGTTGCTATGAGAACTGGCTAGATGGCACTGAATACCAACAACAGACAGCCCGCCGCACTCGGAGACACATCGTGCACTCACCTGGTCATTCAACCAACAGTGACGTCCTTCGTCCCCACTCTGCCAGGCATCAAGCTGACTGCAGGGCGACCGTGGGGGGCAGCCCAGGGTCAGCCCTTCCCACTCAGAACTCCCAGAGGAGCAGCTTTAAACCCTGATGTGTGTAACCCGTCAGCCCGCTCACGCACAGTGTGCACCAGACTCGCCATCAGACCTCAGGGCCCCCACCAACGTCCTCTCTCACCAACACCCACCTCCCGTATCCAGGTCGTGGAAATTGGGGTCCAGGCCTCGATCCAGCATCTTGACGATTTTCTCCACTGAGCGATGCTGAATATGGTCCATGCACTTCTTCAGATTGGCCTGGAGGGACAGACAGGCAGACATGAGTCTAGACGGACTGTCTACAAGATATACTGGGTGGTTCTGGACCAGGGGCACTCTGGCCTGCCTCCACAGGGAAAGGGGTGCCTTCCATGGGCGCTCCACTGTTGATCCCATTGATCCCATGCTTAGCCCTGCTAGGGGTTTCTGTATCTGGAACCGCAGCTGAGCTTAGAACCTAGAACCCAGCATCCCACCTGGGCAGTGAGTTTAAAATCTCTCACCCTCTCACCAAAGAAGACATTCAGATGGCCAACAAGCACATGAAGAAATGTTCAAAGTCCCTAGTTCTAAGAGAGATGCAAATCAAAACAACTATGAGATATCATCTCACCCCAGTAAGAATAGCAAAATATAACAGAACAGCAAGCAACAAATGCTGGAGAG